GTATCATGTGAATCGGGTGCCCAGTGTCTTTCATCCTGGCATTTTTGAAAACAAAGTTACGATGGCAGGCAGACTACGTTCAGGCGAGTGGGTACCTATGGGTTGGATGCCTTCAGCTGTTGTTGAGCATTGGCATTTCATGGTTGTGTTGGCTCATGTGTCGATATGCAATGCAACGGTGAATGACAAAGCGTTATTGTGCAAACATGCAAAGCTGTGTTGGGATAGATTGAATGCTGAGAACCGTCAGATGGTGTTGTGTGGATATGACGGTCGTGAAGATGACAGCATGTGGTCAATGCAGGGTGCTGGCGTGGGCGCAAACCCTTGTTTGGATTTTTCTGATAACTGTCTGAGCGTCATTCGCCGTAGACATGGGCGGTCTGCACTTCTTGGATGGGTACCCGTTGTCTGTCCCATGCGTTATGCCTGCGGCACAGAGCTGTCCATGGAGTTCAGAGACCCTCTGGGTGTTCCGTTTTTTGTGACGTACTCTGATGGTTTGTTGCGGCACATTGAGTACATGGCAACGCAGGACATGAAGGTGAACGATTATAATGTGGGGATTACATAACCTCAGTTTGAAGAGAGGGGACAAGCGGCATGTGAGGCAAACAGACCACACGAAGACGTTCCCGGGGGATGTGACGTTGACGGACTGGCTGCACACTCGGGTGCAGGACGTGCTGTTGTGGAGAAGAGCACGGTAGTCAGCGACATGGTGTGCAGCGATGGTAGCAGGCGGACGGGCCAAGGAACGAAGCGGAAGGCGACAACCAAACGCGACAATGGGGGGACAACGACGGTAGCAGGGAGGGGGGGTCGAGGTAAGGGAAGGGGGCGTGGGGCAGCAATGGTTAGTGGAAGAGGGAGAGGAAGGGGGAGGGGGCAAGGGGGGGCAGCAATGGATGGTGAGACAGGCGGAAAAAATGATGGGAGGCAAGGCCCGCCGAGGCGCAATCGCTGACCCGGAAAGGTTGCTGTGGCGGAGATGCGCCGACTGCAACGCAGCACAGAGCTTTGCATCCCTTACAGACCATTTGTGAGGCTTGTGCGCGAGGTTGTGCAGAAAGAAGATATTGCAACACAACCAATGCGGTTCGGGATGCTTGCAATTCGAGCACTTCTGGAGGCAGCTGAAGCCTATCTTGTTCATCTTATGGAGAGCACCAACGAGGTTGCAATCCATTTGAAGCGGGTGACGATCTTGACGAAGGACATGAGGCTCGTTGACGCATTGCAAGAACCGCGTTGGTGTGTTTTTACGAAAGGCGTCGTGGACGAGAAAAAGTTGATCAGACAACAACAGGAGAGGAGGAGGGCGAATGCTGATGACACAAACAGACAAGAAGTAGCGCCCGAGTCTGCCGAACAGTAGGGGAAAGGGGAGGCGAGGGGGGCATTAAAGAGGAAAGGAAAGTCGGTGAAAAGCACGGCGCCAAATAAAAAAAAAAAATGATATGTATGGACGAAAACGGGTTTGTGTTGTCTTCGCAGGTGTGTGTGTGTGTGTGTGTGTGTGTGTGTGTGTTTGTGTGCATGAGAACATGTGTTTGGGTGATAGATCCTGGATTTTTGTAATGACGTCATTAACAATGATATTTGTACCTTCATTTTCTCACAGATCATGTCTTTGGTTGACATGACTGCAGATCCTTGTCTGCCGCTTCTCTTGTCTGTCTCTGTCGTCTTTCCTTTCATTGATGCAATTCATATTCAGAGGGTGAGTCGGTGTGTGTGTGTGGGGGGTGGGGGGGGGGGGGGGAAT